CTCACAAAACGCAGATTTCCTTTACTTCGTCAGACAATCTTTCGCTTCTGTACGATAATGGCGTGGGTATACCCACTTTTGTCCATTTCCCAAAAATGAATCCCTGAGCAAAACAGCGGCGCGTGCTGTGCGGCACCAAGCGGGGTCACAACATCTGGAAATCCCGGTACACAGGGTAGGTGAAGTTCTACGGGCAGCGGGCCCCCAGTCCCATGTCCCGTGTTGCACACCACACATCGGCATCAGCTGATCAGCATCGTCCAGGGTTGCCGCAGAGCGAGTCCTATATGGACGAACTGGCAAGCCCTCACTGCTGGTTCTTGGCTTGCCAAAAAGTCATGGTCTCCTTGCGAGGGATGAGTGCCTATCGTGTTTTGCAACTAAGCGTCTTACGTAAGCAAACTGGTCCTAAAATGTAACGTTCGCGCTGTTGCCTCAAGGTGTCACGAGTCACGGGTCCTGCTTTCAGTGCTGAAAACGTGTGGCTGGTAGTCATCACGTGCTGCTGTGCATTACTTTTTTGTCCTTCGCTGCTGATGAGTCTGTTCCTTGGCCAGGCCCGCTCTGTAGCCTCTGCACTGCATTGCTGTTGACGGCCCAAGCGTCCGGGTTTCAAACCCCCACTTTTTCCATCCCAACGCAATTTGTTGAGGTGCCCTGTTGGTGTCCTCCAGCTCTTGGATGCCAAAGAGCCTCCCGCTCGTCTCACACCGCGGAATCAGCTTGAGCTAGGTCTATTGCTGGCGGTGAGAAACGCGTCGACAGTCTGCACGCCGTGGTCGTCGCCAACCTTCGCTCGACTGCAAAAGCGATGCGGCCGTCACGTTGGGCATCAGGTGCCTCCTGGCCTTGGGAGAGCTCTGCCGAGAGCTAGAGTGTTCCGAGTGTCTTGGGCTGTTCGGTGGACACCAGAACATTGTCCACCTGATGACAGAGGGTAACACCGCCGGACACCCGCGCGGCCGCGCGTCGGGGGTGTCCACCAAGCATCAGCAGCAGCAGGAGCGGCCGTCGAGAACTGGCGGTGTGGACCAAGCTGGGAGTCAGGCGAAGCCAGGTGTAGATGACGTGGGCACGCGCTGTGATAGCGGGACGGGGCAACAAGGAAGACGACGATGAGGGTGAGGATGAAGTGCAGTCCGCGGCCGCCTATGTTGCAGCTCAGGTGGTGTCTTCCGGATCAGCTTTCCCCGTGCGCAAGATGTTGCGCGGNTGATGACAGAGGGTAACACCGCCGGACACCCGCGCGGCCGCGCGTCGGGGGTGTCCACCAAGCATCAGCAGCAGCAGGAGCGGCCGTCGAGAACTGGCGGTGTGGACCAAGCTGGGAGTCAGGCGAAGCCAGGTGTAGATGACGTGGGCACGCGCTGTGATAGCGGGACGGGGCAACAAGGAAGACGACGATGAGGGTGAGGATGAAGTGCAGTCCGCGGCCGCCTATGTTGCAGCTCAGGTGGTGTCTTCCGGATCAGCTTTCCCCGTGCGCAAGATGTTGCGCGGGGAGGGATCGTCGGGGCTCGGAAGGTTCCCGCTGCAGTACAATTTTGTCATCGACCACGCTGATAAACTGCACCAAACCCAGCCATATTGTGCTGTGGGCACTGCTGAAGGTGGAGATGTCGGCGCCGGCGAAGTGGGTGGATACGGAGAACAAATTTCAGTTTTGGTCCGACCGGTGAAGCAGCGGCAGCAGTCAGTTTGACGTCGGGTTTGTCATGTGGCTGGCCGCAATCATCCTCTCTCGGCTCCTGTGTCGAAACCCTAGCTAAGTCCGTGGTCGGCGGGTGCTCGAGATCGGGGCCGGTCTTGGTTTGGCTGGGCTCGTAGCCTCACGCATCCAGCAGGTGCCCTCCTCGGCGTCGAACGCCTCGTTGGTGAGGATTGCTTGCTCTACCGGTGGCACTGTCGTGGGCAGCCGTAGCGATGTAGCTGCAGCATCGGTTACCTTGAGCGATTTCAACCCCCTAGTTTTGAGGGCTCTGGAGACTAACGTGGCTCTCAACTCGCCTCGCCTGATAGCGGGTATTGCGGCGGGCGGGGGAGTGCCTGGCGATCTTCGGCGGGATGCCTCGAACTGCGACGAAGAGACTGGTAGCGTGCGAGCCGGACATAATGACGGGGAGAGGCGCCAGAGGCAACCGTCCAACATGGAACGGTACACGTGCGACACCTCGATTGCAACAAGCTAGAGGGCGTGTCGGGGGTCGGCGCGGACAACTGCCGGTCGTGCTCTGTTGTTGAACATGGGGGTGGCCATACTCAAGCCGCAGGGTTTCAGCCTAGAGAGGATACCGACAACAGCAATTTTGACAACAGCGAGCCCAGCAGTTACGCCGCGGAGTCATGCTTCCCGCGGGACGGTTGTGTAAATAGGGTGTCGCGAGAAGAAGACGGTGGGGTCAAGGGTATCGAGCATGAGTATGATGGGGTTAAGAGCATCGAGCATGGGGAGCGGTTCGACGTCATGATTGCCTCGGATCACATGTAAAACGGATGGAGAGGCTAGGGGTAGGGGCTGGCCCAATGTCTGTGNCTCGAAGGTGGCTTGTGACAAGGAGTGGAAGGTCTCCGGTTGTGGATACGGTATTCGCTTGTTGATTATTGCTAACTCAGGGCAAGCAAGGAGAAGAGTGAAGCAGGGGGGGCTGAGCAATCCTAGCCTCAAGACGGGGCCCGGCAAACCGGACCTTACTGCTAGTACCTGTTGGGAACAACGCATTCTCCCAAAGGTGCAACTCCTAGGAGTAAATCAACCGTAACCATGTAACCGTAACATCCCCCCATTAGCATGAACAGCTATTTGTCAGCTGTCACATGCTAATAAACGGTAGCAGGAAATGTGTA